AGAATTTTCAAGAATTTTTTCTAAAATTAATTTGTTTTATCATTTAATATCTAATTCAAAATGAGTGTGTGTGTGGATGTAGATGTGTGGAAGTTGATATTCTCTTCGCTGACACCCATATCTGCACTCTTTTTTCGTCTTTTCTTATCTTTCAAATTATTTTTTGTAGATCCAACGTAAGAGTAGCTCTATCAACAATTAGTAAATCTGAAGATGATCTTATACAATAGTGTCAACATTTCTGTTCTAATAACTTATTATTTAAAAAACGGTAAAAAAAAAAGAACATTTCCTATTGATAAATAGAAAGTTTATTCTAAAAAAAAATAATTTTTTTAAAGCCTATTTAAAAGATTTTGTTCATGGTCGATCAGTTGATGAAGAAGGTGAACAACAAGATACAGATGATGATCTTTTCGGTAAACGTTTCGTATACATGGCAAACATTTTGCTCATAGTTAAAACATCATATGAATAACTCTTTAAAAATAAAAAAGGATTAAAAGACATTTTATTCTTGTACGTGTCATTTTAAGTAAAACAAAAAATAAAGTCTCATTAAACAAAAAAAGCCTCATATGAATATGACTGACATTTGACGAAATGTTTATGTCTCTTGTTGGTGTCCTTTGACAATGTTGGGGTTTTAATAAGTAATGTGGAGTGCATATTCACGATATAAATTAAATAATCAAACAATTTTAGAAGAATATATTGATGAAAATTATGAGCCAACTGATGAAGAAATTCATGAATATGCTACACATATTGGAATTGATCCCAAGAAAGTAAATAAATATTAAGAGAAAAGATAAAAAAAGACATAATTTTTAATAGGAAAACGATCTTCTTTGGTTGGCAAGAGAAGATGTTATGAAACCATCACCATCAGGTGGGATAGCGTGTCAAAAAGAAAATGGAGAATCATATGATTTTTATTTTAATACGGGAAAATCATCATGGGATCATCCATATGATGATATATATAAAACACATGTTATTCAAGCACGGTAGGATGTTTTAAGAAACAACTTCATTATTTCAATATAAAAAAATATCAATTAGAGAAAAAAAAACTTTATCATCCATTGTATTCGATACACTTTCAAAAGGTAATTCTTTGAGTATTTATTTAAACAGGAAAAATATATCAAGTCTAAGTGATTTATCAACTGGAAAAATCCTCATAATTTACCTTTACAAACAAAAAATAATACAATTGATAATCAATTAGGTATGCTCCTTCAACAGGGTTCTATATTATCGAGCAAAAGAATACTTGTCCGATTGATAAAAGCAAACTGGCGATACCAAGTGTTTTTTAAAATATGATAGAGATCTACTGTTTTCATCATTCAAAAATCATTGAAATCGAAGCCATTTAATTGGTTCGCAGTTGGAGAATCGAGCAAGTTCTTGGTAAAGGCTTATGAAAAGCAATTTTATTTTTCCATTCAGAAGTTAGAAAAGATTCCTGAGATTCCTGATTTCAGCTAATCAACTTAGAATCGCCCTGAACAACGATGTTCAAGTTAGTTTCACACTGTTACCTCAATCTATCTAAGATATCGATGTGTTCGTTAGATAGAAACTGATTGTCGAATTCCAGAAATACCTTTTTCTATATCTTTGTCATATTACAAGTCTAAATTATGAGAAAAATGGGTACATTTCTCTCTTTAATAATGAAAACTGTAGGTCTCTCTAATATTTCTATCATAACTTATTCTAAAAACAGTAGAATACACTATATTTTGAAATAAATAGATATTATTTATGTACGAAAGTATAGAAGCCAATTTAAAAAAAACAAATCATCTTCTTTATTATAGAGAAAAATAGTGAAGATACTCATGAACGAATAAAACTTACCAGTTTAGCTGCACAAACTGCTGAACATCCTTTAAATACAAATAAAAGTTCAATTAATGTGAATTATAATTTAGTTTTATAAAATACTTATTGTCTTGTTTTTAATTGAAGGGTACTACATCAACTATACGACTTGAACAGTAAATAAAATCTTTATTGAGTTTTCTAAAAAAACAAACATTTGATTATGATTAAGATCTGTAAATGATGAAAAATTACAATTAATTGAAGATAATCGGTATTTATATTGAAAAATTAAAAAACAGAATTAAGTTTAGTACAAGAACAAGAAGAACGAAAATTATGTAATAAAATGAAAGTTGATTTAACGTAAGAAAAATTAAAAAAAAAATCATTTTAAATATTTTCCTTTTCTTCAATAGATTAATGGAAAATAATATTTGTGAAAATCATTTACATGAAAATAAATC